ACACGAAGAAACCCTGACTCAAAAAACCAACTGTGGACACACAGATAAAGATTCATGGGACTAGCCTCAATATAGGTTAAATGGAATTTATTTCAGGGAGAAGTCACACAAGAAGCAGATGGCCGCCGCAGGTTCCTGCTCTATGGATCCACACATGTTGCTCTCTGTGACCCAACCAAGCACAAGAGAGAACCCCCTGTACTCAGACCCCAGACCTAAAACCCATTCTCTTTCAAGTCCATACCTGTGGCCACGCCCAAGTGGGCGTGGTCAGTGCTACAGGTGAGGGCAGGGTGGATGTCTCACTACAAACAAACAAAAAGAGCTGTCAAGATAGATGTGGGATGAAGGCAATTAATCCCTGTCATTGGGAGGTTGAAGCAGGCAGATCTCTGTGGGTCTGAGGCCAGGCTGGTCTACAAAGTAAGTTCTAGGACATCCCAGACTACATAAAGAGACCCTGCCTCAAAATAAATAAATAAACTGTTACATAAAAACATATTTTAAGAGTAGCAAGTTTCCATAATTATATACTGAAAAATGGACCCACCTCTTCAAACAAAGATCATTCCTTTTCAAAAAGACATTTTTCTTTAAGTTCACAGAGTTGTTTGGCATACTTCAAAACATAGTAATTCAGAATTTAACACAGTAGAGAAACTGGCCCAATATCTCCAAAGCCTTAAAAATGGGCACAGTGCCCAAACAACAGACACAGATCCAGTGATTGATCCTAGGAGAGCAACCAAGAACGTTGCTCTCCTGTGTGACATATGATCATTTACTACAGCAACATTAAGAAAAGTATCCAGAGCAGATAGATTACATAATTAAATCATGATGCAGGCACCAAGTAAAGAGCCAGGTGTGACTAGAGCCTCTTTTTGTCCCCTTGTGTGTTGTTAGCTCACTCCTTTATCCTTTGGGCACCTGGTAAGTTAGAGTCCATTACTGCAATGAAAATTTTATCAAATCTCTTCCTTTGGCTCTCTGAACAATTTTTACCTTGTACTTCAACATTATTTGCCTATGTAAGAGCTCTAATAATTTCAGAGAGAGAATCCTCAGAGTTTCAGTACTTTCAGTACATGGCCACTTGTCTCCACTGCTTCTGAGCCTATGCATGTAACACAGAAAATCACATTCAGGAATGTGACTGGACGGGTGACTTATCTCCTGGTGGAAAGATGGACCTGGGATAAGGTATGTCCTCCAAAGATGTATCCTCAGAGACCTATTTTCTACTAAAAATATGTTCTCACAGCCCATTTGGCTGTAAACTCATCAATAGATTAATCTATTAATTAAGGTAGCACCCTTATGATCCAATTACACCACCATCTGGGAGCACAGATTCATCACATGAGCCTTTAGAAGGAATATCTAATCACAACATTCTGCCTCTGGCCCCCAAAGTCTTATGTCCATCTCATAACAGAAAATACATTGAGTTCATCTGTAGGGGCCCCTAAAGTCTCAACAGTTTGGACACTGCTCAAGAGTCCAAGTTTAAAGTGTCTTCTAAGATTCAAGGCAAATTCTTAGCTGTGAGTCCCTGTAAACCAAAAAGAAAGTTACATACAGCCAATATAAAGTGGTAGGCCAGGGTCCATGTATTAGGGTCCTAGAAGAACAGAACTGATAGAATGAATATATATCACATAGGGAGTTTATTAAGTTGGCTTACACAGGATGGACTGGACAACACCCTTCTGTGTGATGAAGAGGCTAAGAACCTAGTAGCTTTTCAGTCCATTAACTTAGACCCCTCAGCAGTATCAATCTAGAGCTGCTTCCTAGACAGCTGCCACTCTTCAGTTCATGTCGGAAAGAAAAAAACAGCTGGGTGCCGATGCCAGTGAAGGATGGCAGCAGTGGCACCGACAGAATGGATGCACTCGCCAGCTGAGGAGCCAAGGCAGACAAGCAAGCAATGCTTCCCTCAAACCCTCATCGGGAAATGATGTCTACTTTGGTATCTTCCCTCTCAGTGAATCAAGGATATACCCTCACAGATTCACCCACAGGTGTCTCTTAGGTGATTTCAGATAGTCACATTGACAACCAAGATTAACTAGCCAGGACATACTGTTACTCCAAAAGGGAAAAAAAAAAAAAAAAAAAAAAAAAAAAAAAAAAAAGGAAAATGTCAAGGAGGAAATGAAACACATTACCACTGGTTATTCTTCTGTGTAGCATATGGAGCATATGCTGGTGTTAGGTAAATTCCAAAGAGCCTATAACTCTTTGGATTTAGCACAAGAGTGAAAATAAAGGCCCATATACAAATATTTTAAGAACATATACACATTGATGTGCCACACTTATGACAATTTGCCATCTACTACATAAACATCTGGAAGTTATATGTTCTTTGCTCCTACTTACATTTTCATAATGATCGGAAGAACAAGGTGAGAACTAGGAATTCTTTAGCCCCTTAAGGGATCAATACCAACATTTGGAAGCATGGAAAGAACTTATGACCCATTTACCATACAACCCTCTTTTGGTGTCCGTCCAGCTCACCCTGCACTACAAGGGACTCTATATACCCACAAATGGATACCCCAACCTACCTGCCAAATTTTTTACACTCCTCCTTGAAGACACCTGTGTGCTAGATAGACTCTGGATGTGGCTGGGCCTTGGATACACAGATATGGATGAGAGGCCCTGGAAGCAGCTCAGAAATGGCTTCACAGGGAATTCTTGGAAGACCATTCACGGATGTTGTATCTGTCCAGCCTTACCTTCCCTTACTGTGAGAGATCTAGAAAGGCCTGTGTGGAGTTCACTTAGTGGCTCCTTGGTCTAAAGGAGGACTAGAGGATCTAGTGTTCATTCCAACTGGAGTATCAAATCAGTGTTCATTATTGAATACCTTACCCTAACACTGACTCACACCAGGATGGATCTGAAGTATAGAACATCAAGTTGGTATTAGAGAACTGGCTGGCATGGGAGAAGCCCTACCCATCTACTATCAAAGTGAGACACCAAGAGTGGCATGGGCACAGAAGGAAAGCAGTTTGTTTTACCATTCTCTTTGGGTGGTTCTTTTGTTTTCTTGGTTCAAGATCACTCACTTCCATACACATAAACAAGCATAGTTCTGACGAAACTAGTCCTTAGCAAAGGGTTGTGTCTGATAGTTTCTGAAAAACACTTCCCTCCATCTCTAAGAAAGAGGCTACCTCATCGTTGTGTTGCCTCTTTGTCCTCCAAGTAGTGCTTTTTTTTTTTTTTTTTTTTTTTTTGAGAAACACTCAAAAACCAAAACAAAACAAAAAACAAAAGACAAACCAGTAGCTGCCATGCCATTTCCATTCCTGGAAGTCTGGGAGTCCTTATAGTCCTTACAAATTAGCCTGCCTTGCTGTGCCTTCCATTCAGTGGAAACAATGAAATATTCTACATGTCCAGCCAGTGAAGGAATGTGGTAAATTCTAATTTTATATTGCTTCAGTGTCCATTATAAATATATTACACCAGAAACAGTGCTCAGTAACTGTGATGGTTAATCACCATTGTTGACTGGACAGCATTTAGAATCACCAGGGAAGCCAACCTCTGGACATGTCTGTGAGGGACTTTCTAAGTTAGATTAACTAGGGAGGAAAGACACACTAACTATGGGCAGGAACACTCATTGGCTGGGTGTGGTCCCAGACTACCTAAAAAGGAGGACACAAGCTAGCACCATAATTTCACCACTCTCCTTTGTGACAGTGGATGTAGCTGCTTCCTTCCCTGCCATGGCTGACTTTATCCTCTGAAACTGTAAGTCAAAATAAACCCTTCTTTCCTGATATAACTCATTAGATTAAGATACTAAGTAAAGAACACTAAGGCAATACTGCAGTTGTGATGAACACTTAAACACACTGGACACCCTTAAGACCAAGGGGCCACTCATGAGCGCCACACAGACCTTTGTGGACCTTCTCTCCTAGTGCAAGGGGAAGGTAAGGCTGGAAAACTTTAAGTTTGAAAACTTAACATAGCAAAGATATTAGCACTACTATAGAACATTAGAACTAAGTGGGGTTGTGGAAGTCATAAAGATGACCACATGATCGGGTTTCTGGAAGAATATGGAAGAGTTTGGAACATTGGAGAGAGAAAAGAAATGAATACCATAAGCAAAACATAATGAACATTTCTAATGGAAAACAAGAATGATGAGAGAGGGAGGAGGGAAAATATGAAAAAGAGCATAAGGATCTCAGTCCAGATTCCCAGCACTCACTTCAAAAAGCTAAGTGCTGAGGGCTGGAGAGGTGTGTGAAGAGTTATGAGTATCTATTGTTTTGCAGAGAACATGTGTTACAAGTAAGGTTGTTCCCTGCCAGTCTTGTCCCTCTGCCGTGCCAGCCCCAAATAACACGCAGAGAGACACTGTATTAGATATAAAGCTGTTGGCCAATTACTAGTTTCTCATCGGCTAGCTCTGTCTTAAATATTAACCCATTTTTATTAATCTAAGTACTTCCACATGGTCTCATCTTACCAGAGAAAGGGGCTGGTGTTCTTCTCTCTCCATCTTCCATCTTGGATCTCCTCCCAACTCCTTCCTCTCTCCTCCTTGTCTCCTAGTCCTGCCTATCTTGCTTTCCTATTGGCCAACAGTGCTTTATTCATAACCAATAAGAGACACATATTTACAGAATGACCTCTCCCATCAGACATGGTTTGACTCACAGCACCTACATGGTGGCTCACAATATTTGACTGGCTAGAACTAGATTTGAGTCAGAGCAAAAAAGACCTCAACGAATCCTTTTTCACTTTGTATGTGATGCAGCACAGGCCCAGGAAGATGATGTGGGCAACGAGAGCAGATATACAGGGAAAGGACTCCTGAAAACTGCTCAAATGCACAAGACATCCACACTTGAGAGTCTCAGGGCACACGGTGGTGTTCTCAGGCTTCTTCTTTAATACAGCTTCAGTAAAAAGATAATGCAGATATTAATGTAAAAATATATGAAAGCACATTATAAACAGTGTCACAGACTGTTTATTACAATTCATGGGAAGGACAAGACACTGAGTATGTGACAGATTCCTTCTTAATACCAGGGTCTCGCTCTGTGGTCTGCACAGTGAACCGTCAGCGTTGTGTTGACTCCCTCTCCTCACTGGGGGCAATGGTCAGGCAGCCCTGCAACACACAGCACAATGGCCAGCCTCAGCCATATCTCTAACGCCAAGATGGCTTTGCTTTGCTTGAGTAGCCAAGAGGTCCATAAGCATGGACTCAACCAACCCCAAATCAAAAATATTCAGAAAAAAATTTTAAGTCATATGACAATGCCATATAAGTTAAAAAAACAAAAACAAAAACAAAACAAAACAAAAGCATGGTATGACAACTATTTGTATACTGTATTCTGTATTGTAAGAAATCTAGAGGTGATTTATATAAACACTGCCTATTTATAAAAGAGACTCAAGCAATTTCAGACTTTGGTGTCTTAGAACTAATCTCCAAAGATACCTAATAATGTTCTAGACTGGGAGGATACTAATTGCGGGGTAAGCCAAAAGTTTAAATGTGTTTTTCTTATTTACTTCAAGAAATGGAGTTTTAAATATATTTCCAGCTACTGGGATGATTTTAAAGTCATATGCTTAATTTATATACTGAGATTCTGCCTCAAGATGAGTTCTGATGCTTTGTTACTGTTGCATGCTAAGTCAAATTCAATAGTTGAATGAGTAAAGAAGACAAGCGAGGGTCACTGGCTCTTTCATTAACAAGTGCCATGGTAAGAAGGTGCTCCAAACAGTATAACTCTATTCTATCTGTGGAAAACTCTAGTGGATGTCATATGGGCTCTGAGTAAGGATGATGTCCAGTACTTAACAAATGAAGCAGACTCATTTGTTCAGTTCACATAGCTATCCCTAGTTGTGAAAGAAAATGTGATCATAACAATAACCACCTTGGGAGGTTTTTACTACTAGTCTTGTTTTCGTATATTGAAAAACATACAAATAATCTTTTAGTAAATTCCTCAAGAAATGATAGTTACAAGAAAAAAACCTAAATAATAAAATAAAAATCTTGATAGGAACAAAGCAAAACAATCCACTCCTAAGATGTTTTGCTTGGTGAAATTATTTTCTAACCTTGTCACTTGTGTTGGTATACACTTTTAGTCCCAGCACTCAAGAGGCTGAGGCAGGAGGACCAGGAGTTCAGGGTCTTCCTTTGCTACATGACAAGTTAAGACCAGCCTGGGATACATGAGGAAAAAAAACAAACAAAAGTAATGCTACTACACAAAGTCTCTCCAAAGGATTTCCAATTTTAGAAGGGAAACTACTTTCTTGTGTAAGTGAACTTGGGAAAGCAGTAGTTGGAATCGGGACATGGAAGACTAAACATGCACTATTTGTAGGACTCCCATCAGATACCAAACTTGGTCAAAGTGCTTTGTCACCAAAACAGGAAGCCACTTCAGTGCTAACAAGTCACTGCCATGTGGATCAGAATAGTCTTTCCACCAACAGCAAGCAGCATTGTGAAGATTCTTGTGGGTAAGCTTTAAATAGGACCACATAGCTCTTAAACTACATGAAATCAATCTCTATGTGTGTGTGTCTATCTGTCTGTCTGTCTGTTTACCTGTCTTCCCCTCCTCTTCTTCCTTCTCTCTGACAATAACTCACTATGTAGTGAGCTGGCCTCAAACTCACAGTGATTCGTGTACCTCAGTGTCCTATGTGTGAGCTATACCCAGGCTGAAATTTCTTATATGAGGCATTACAGAAAGAAGTACCTGGTGGTTGGTGGCTATACACACGGTTAATCCCAGTACTCAGGAAACAGAGCTAGAGACTAACTCTGAGTTAGAGACCAGCCTGGTCTACAGTGAGTTCCAGGACAGCCAGGGCTACACAGAGAAACCCTGTCTCAAAAAACAAAATGAAACAAAAACAAACAAACAAACAACAAAGAAACCCAAAAACAAAAAAAAGGGAAGTGATGTTTTCCTTAGAAAATATTTGTCTTTTGATACATATACACACAAAGTATGGGGGGGCATAAATACACATGCCCACACCCATTTCTCAGAACCAAAGCCATTGCTCATACTATATAAATGTTTTACACTAAGCAACACCCCCCAGCCACACAGTTTTCTTTTTACAAAATATTTTTTTTACCCCTCTTCTGAAGATTCTACGTAAGACATTTCCCTTTGGTCTGAGAATGGAGGGACACAACTTGTCTTTTCTATGTGCTGATGAATCTTCCCCATCTTCACTTTCATTGAGGTCCTTGAAACATCCAGATTCAATCATCTGTGTGTACAAAAAGACAGGATAGAGCAAGCAGCTTTAGAGACACAATCAGGTGAGTGATTCCCTAAGCATTATCAGCTCCCAGCCAGCACCTGACCTCAATGTGGGGCACATCAGAGTTCCCAGACCTTCCCTGGCTCCACATTCTTAGACTACTCGTTTCTGACCTCCTCTTGAAATAAGTAAAGTGGCCCCCCTTTCTCCAAGAAAGCTAATTCAAATGGAGCTGCCAGCTAGCCTTGCTTAGGAAGCAGGACTCCAGGGTGGCAGGCAAATCCCAAGATCACCTTTTGCCCACCTCCTGTAACTAGGACCAGGGTATCTTGTCATGCTTCTGGAAAATGCTGATACTGTCTTGGCTTTCCCATGATCTAATCTAGTCCTCATAGTCAAGTCCTTTGCATACATTTACATTGCAGACGGATAGACACAGACACAGACACAGACACAGACACAGACACAGACACACACACACACACACACACACACACACACACACACACACACACACACACACACACACACACACTGTTGAAACCAGCATAAACCTACTCTGCTAGAAAGAGTAGTACCTCATTCTGCCAGGGGATGGTGACACTCCCAGTAGCAAACTGGGCATAGAAAGTTTCATCACTGCTGTCCAGGTTGACTCCTTTCACCACAGAGAACTGGCCAATATCCAAGATATCCTTACAATAAATGGCCTGAGGCTGGGCCAAGAACAGAAAGAGGCATCAACCTATGAGACAACTAGAATAACTCTTAACTCTTTTCTTGTTTTGTTATTTGATTTTTTTTTTCTTCTGAATTTTTGAGACAGAAACAGGTAGCCTAGGCTGTCCCTAAACTCACATTCTGGCTGCCTGACATTTTGTTTTTAATTTTCAGCTGCTGGGAATTGGACATAGGGCCTACACTTGTTGGGCAAGCACTGTGCCACTTAACTACATTCCCAGTCCTAAAGCAACTCTGATCTCCCTTGATTACAAAGTCTACAAATATTGTTCCCCGCCATGTCCATTGCCAAGGCCCTTTCAAACTAATTTTCTAATTTATATCATGTAGATTCTATGACACAGCAGATCCTGCGTCACACTTCTCAGGGAGGCTCCAGTGTCACAGATCCTGTGGCATCTGTTCCAGGCTCCGCCCCCACCGCAGGTGTTCATATACCCCTCATGGGGATCCATTTTCTTCTCTGCAGCAGAAAATAGATTGCAAAGGCTGAAACTATGAAAGAATGGGTGGGATGGGTTGCTTCTGTTGGGACACGGAGAGGGCTGTAAACAGGGATGGAGACCACTGGCTGTGGGATCCACTATTGACAATTTTTATCTTGCTTCTAGCCCTGAGCATCCTACCTGCAAAGTACCTACTTAGCATTTGGGTGAACAGTAGACGCAACCTTCTTGCTAGCAATTTCTCCTCTGTAACTAAGGCCTAGGCCTGCAGCCTCTGCCTTGGCACTGCTGTCCTCAGGAGCAAGTGATCAGGAGAGCATACAGGGTTTTCAAGACCCAGGCCTCCATTCCTTCAGAGCTTTGCTTGCCCTTCTGGGACTAAGGAGAACATAAAGCACAGAACTCTGCAACTAAGGAATCTTTGTCTACTACTGTCAAACACCCTGACAGCCCTGAGGAGTCATTGCACTGTTGGTTGGGTGGAGCAAAGGATGAGTGTCATTACAGTGGTACTCTGCAGGTCACTGGTCAGCACTGTTCCTATTCTCTTCTATCCCACAAAGCGAAGGACAGAAGGACTGGCAAGTCCTCTCTTGGGACAGTCTAGGCCAAAAGCCAAGACACATGTAGCCCTACAAACTAAGAACCTTAATTCTGAAAGCAAAATGTCCAGAGTTTGCTTAATTGCCTTGGTGCAATTTCTTTAATCCAAGAACACAGACAGTCTAGGATGGCCCTGTCAGGGTTTTCCCCCTTCCTCCCGAGAAACCACACTGGCCTGTCTTCCCTGCTTTTGAACCAAGCTGCCCCATCTCCAGACCTGACAGCTATATGAAGTTCAGGTTGTGCATGCTGCACTGTCAGGCAACACTTCCCAGCATGCCAATCGGTTTGTCTTCCTACCTGTCTCTCCAAGCAGAGGCCATCCTTCATCTACCTTGCTTTCCCTTTGTTTTCTTACCTAGAGCTATTCTGGAGATAGTGGACATGCCCTGAATATCTCAAGTAGGAATCAGTTCCAAGGAAGCAGTTACCACTATAGCAAATACTATGGATATTAAGCACGTTCTGAAGAAACCTTACAAATAAAACTATCTCAATTGTAGGTTTATCTTAATTCTATCCAAAAATGAAATTTTAACTTATCTTTCCATTTTCAGACTGCTAAGGGTAGAGTCCAGGCTATCTTTCACCAGTAGTTCACCTATTGTGTACTACATTTACCATATTCACTATATGTACTATATATATAACTGGCACTGTGCTTTTGGAAGCATGACCTTGTTTATCTCAACAGCATACTCATGAGGAAGCACACATATGACAGCTCCAGAAGGATGCACATTCCAGACTAAGCAGCTGTGTGTACTCAGTGCAATGAGTAAGCACAGGCATGGAGGTAAACCCAGCACTGAGCTCTGACCAGGAACACTGGCACACAGAAAGCCTTGAAGGGTATATCAAAAGGGTCTGAAATGGCACTGAGAACTGGGAGGACAGGAGTTTGACTATCCCAGAAGTGATGGGCTGCACACCCCAAGCCTTGGAGCCAGGGAGCTACTAAGGTCTGTGTGAAGGTAGTGGGATTGGGCAGAAGAAGAAGCAGAGATAACAGGCCTCAGAGAACCCACAGGCCAGCTGTATCAAGTGTGCTTTAACAAAAAGACTGCTATGGGAATGAGTGTTCTTGGGGACCTAGCTACTCTAGGTAGCATACTTACGTCAGGATAAAAAGGGGCATCTAACATATTTGCTTCCAGCCTGCTGAAGTTAATGTCCTTGAACACTGGGTGCTGCTTTACAGCAGCGGCTCCATCACTCTGACAGCCTAGCCGATGAGTTGGATCCTTGATGAGTAACTACACAAGAGAGAAACAATCGAGTGAATCTATTAGGACAGAAATATTAACACAAAACTGTCCTCTTTAATAACCAAAGAAGTTGGGGTAACAGAGAGGACATTTACCCAAATAAAGAGCCACTTCAGTTTCCAAGTATCAACCACATTGTACAATTTCAGACTTAACTAAGTAGGTTATGGTTTCGAAAAGGGTAAAGCTCAAATCTTGCCATGAGTGATCAAGAGATGGAAGCCTGAAGTTCAGTGCCTCATTTTGTACTGCTTTAATCTCAGCACTTGGGCAGAGGCAGACAGATCTCTGTGAGTTTGAGGCCAGCCTGATCTACATACTTACATAATGAGTTCTGGGCCAGCTAGCGCTATATAGACTCTGTCTCAAAAAAGACAAAACAAACAAACAAAAACCCAAACAAATAAAAACATCGATTTGAACAAACTAATCCTCAAGTAAAAAATGTAAAAATTAAGGGATAATCATTAAGGACATGGAATTATGAATTTAGAAATACTATTTCAATGCTGTTGAATTTATAAAAAGAAACCTTTATTCATTAGAGTACTAAGGACCTCAAGTGAATAAAAAATTTGGTAAGCTTCCTTTCAGAAACTGTATATGCTTAACTCACTGACTTTGTCCCTCCCCCATGTCTAACAACACCTCTGCTTTCCCCCTGCTTTTGGTTTTATTTATGTATTTGTGTGAGTATATGCCAGAGTGCATGTGTGGAAGTCAAGGGAGTTTTTCAGATCAGGAATCCATTCTTGCTGAGGCAAGTGCCTCTTTGTTTCTGTTGCTGAGCTGTGTATTCCAGGCTAGCTGGTCCCACAAACTTCAGATGATCCTCCTATCTCTACCACCTATCCTAACCCCAGGAGTACAGGGATTAAAGATGTGTGCCATCACATCTGGCTTTGCCATAGATTCTGGAGAAAAAACTCAGGTCATCAGGCTTATGTGGTAAATCGTTTTCACCCACTGAACAATCTCCTGGGCCACTGTGTTTTTTTTTCAAGACAGGGTCTTGTAGCCTACGTTAATTTTGAAGTCCTCATATGCATGTCTGTACCATCTGAGTGCTGGGGTTATAGCCATGTGCCAACTGCACACCCAATAGTCTCTTTCAAAAGTGTTCTTTACATGTTTATAATTCACAAATTCAAATAAGCCTCCCTTCATAATTACTAGCAATCAAAAAAGACTGGCTCACATTCTTGTCCCTCTGTACACCCTACTCTCTGCTGTTGTGCAAGTTACCTACTTTCATCTGTGGGAAATTTAACCCGCTGGTTAAGAGCCAGTTGTTTCTCTTCATAGTAGTTACTGAACATGATGGTTGACTTTAGCTGTTAATCACCTGGAAAGTGACCTTTTTTTTTCTTTCAATTTTTCGAGGCAGGGTTTCTCTATGGCTTTGGGGCCTGTCCTGGAATTAGCCCTTGTAGACCAGACTGGTCTTGAACTCACAGAGATCCACCTGCCTCTGCCTCCCAAGTGCGGGGATTAAAGGCAGGTATCACCACTGGAGTCTTAAATAGAACTGTCCAGATTGGGTTTACTTGTGTGCATTCTTTTTATTTATGTTTTATTTTTAACTCTCATACATTATATTCTGACCAGAGCTTACCCTCCCTCCACTCCTCCCAGTCTCCTTCCCACTTTCCCTTTTCCTCAGATCCAATCCTCCTCCACACACACTCCCCACCAAGAAAAAGAACAGACCTCTCAGGGAAATCACCTAAACACAGCATAACAAATTACAATAAGATTAGGCACTAATTGGTAGAAATGCCCACTCTTAATGTGGACCACACCATTTCATGGTCTGGGTCCTGGATTAAATGGAGATAGGCAGATGAGAACGGTATATTTGTATTAATTCAATGGTCTTTGCTGTTGAAGGTAGAAGTGATGTGACTAGTTACTTCAAGTTCCAGCTGCCTTGACTTCCCTGCATTGATGGAATACAACCTGCAATTAAGAGTCAAATAAGCCCTTTCTCCTTTAAGTTATTTTTAAAATCAGGAGGTTTTATTACAGCAATGAGAAACAAGCTAAGACAAGGAATATGTACCTCAGAAACTTACTCTCATTACTTGATTTCATCCTCGAAGCATCTTGTCTCATCTGCATCTTATAGACAACAAACTGGGACTCAGAGAGGTAAAAAAATAGGATGCTAAGACTAGGCCAACTGCAAAGCTAGCCTACTTACAAAAGTTATTCTTTAGCCAGGCATTGGTGGCACAAGCCTTTAATCCCAGCACTTGGGAGGCAGAGGCAGGTGAATCTCTTGAGTTCAAGGCCGGCCTGGTCTACAGAGCAAATTCCAGGATGGCCTGGGTGACACAGAGAAACCCTGACTCATTAACAAAAACAAAGACAACAAAAATCTGCCCTTTTCTCAGACTCTACATTCTTTCCCAGTGCCTCTAGCATGACAAGAATTTTATCCTTGAAACCCTTGAGCCCCTCTTAAACTGAAGTTTATAGTTCCCAAATCCTGTTAGTCATTCTTATGGATGCAGGCCTAGGATTAAACTGTGAGCTCCGTGGGGGCAGGCTCCATCTTGCTTTCACATTACAGCACTGTCAGTGTCCTATGAACAGCAAGCACTCAATCAATATTTACAAAAGCCAAATGCAAAAGTAGCTTGATCAATCAATCCCCTGTGAAATGCTGAGTAGGCTAGCTGGGAGAAAAGCCAGGATCCCACTGCTCAGTGACAAATCTGTAACACCCATCATTTTGTATATGGTAAGAAAATGAAGGAGCCCCAAATAATTATTCTCCAGATAGTATCAATTCACATAAGTTACCTGCATAGTTAGTAATAGGCACAATTGTTGCCATTCTCATACCCACAGAGGCCCACCCCTTTATCTCCTACCCTGCCAAGCCACTCTCTCCTCAGGACCAGCACAGCCTCGTCAGCTGCTTTTCAAAAAGTTTCTTGTGTGTGTGTCCCTCCAACTGTTCTAACCCTGGTGCCACAATTCCAACAACCCACAGCTCACACTTAGCCAGGATCTACTATTGTTTTTTTCTTGCCTTTCCCTATGTCACTTTTCTTCAACAATTTAGGACGATAGGATCCAGGGCTCAGTCCCCTTTTGCACACAGCCAGCTTCCCTACATGTCTCCATGCCTGCTTTATCATACCTGGCAAGCCCAACTGGAGAGCTGGGCAAAGATAGCTCTCTACTGTCCCTGGACTCATGTCTCTGCACAGAACAAAACACCAGTGGGTTGTGGACAGCATCTCCCTATGCATGCACTTGATTAGCCTCTGGCACTTCCCAGCCCTTCGGCTTCATCTTCTCTAAATGGTGCTTCATATCTCATTTGCACCCATACTTGCTACATTTCTCTCCCTATCCTTGACCCCGTGATACTGAGGGCATAAATAGATGGAAGTCTCTATTCAGAAGCTCCACAGCAAATCTGCCACTTGCACTGCCCCCAAAACACAAGAGGGAACTGCTCAGATGTCCCCTTGTACCCTACCTAGTGCCTCTCCTTCCCCTATCCAAGCTTTTGATCTAGTAAGTCACTTCTCCACACAAGTGCTTGGGTTTCCCTCTTTTCAGTGTTTCTGCTCTATCAGTATGGGAATTCAGCCTTGACCCCTTTTCTCCACTTCAGCAACCCTACAAGGTCTATCAGGAATCTGAACATATCTCATATTTGTTCTTCTACCAATGCTATCCATGCCACACACACATTTCTTTTAGCTCTTTGTCCCGCAAATCCTACCAACTACAGTGTCTCATCAGCCCTCCATGCTTCTGATTCCTCCAGAATATGCATCGTCCTCTGGCAGCCAGCACATTTGTCATATTTGTTCATTTTACTATTAGTGGCTTCCCACCTTGCAACAGAATGAAAACAACATTGAAAGAGCCAGGACTTCCCTTGTTTACTCACTGCTGTATTCCTAGTGCCTATGATAGTACTAGGAACATAGAAGATGCTCAATGATTCCTTGTTGAAAGAAAAAAATTTAAAGATGCTACAAAAGACAGACCGCAAAAGAAAAAGAAAAGCCTATAGCAACCATTTTAAGGTAAGTACATTAACAAATTTTAGTGTATAGACAATTGATGAAAAAAAATACAGCCCTGAGGACAGACAGCACCCAAATGCTACTGGCACATTCTATAATAATGGGTTAGGACTTGCTCTCTGGCATCATTGTGTCGCATGGACAGTGAAAGCCCTAATACAATAATCAAATCTGTAAGGTACATGTCAGTCTGGCCCATGCAGGGCTTCAAGTCAGAGTGTCTGTGATAATTTAAAGAAAAATAAATTGGCAGAGACAATCTTCCCATTTCAAAATACATTAGGAATTAGTTTTATATTGAATTTTACATAAAATGAGTCAATGAACAAGACTCGTGGCTGTTTTCTAAAAACAGTAACTTGGCACCACTCTTCCTTTCAATAACATCAATATAGAAGGGCAGTCATGGATTTTCCTCTGCCTGGATTGGGAACCTGATCTCTGCTCTCATGGTCTGCCTGAGATGAAATTCCAGACAAGAGTGCCAAGAAGGAGGCTGGTTGCTGAGAGGCCTGGCTGAGCTCGCCTGCACCTAGGTCTTGCTGTAGGACCAGGGCTTGTAAGCTGGGTGTGGGGTGGCTGCCCTGCTTCAAAGACTGCCTACCTACTTTGGAACCATCAAGAGAGTCAGATGAAGTGAGTTAATCATTGTCCTATCTCTGTGGACCCTGACCCACCATGCTGCAGATGGACTTGGCATCCTCTGAAAACTTCTCAGAATACTCCTCCGTTTCATTCTTCACTCTTCTTTCCACTTCCTCCCGGGTGACTTTCTCTTTATATTTTTTGAATGGAGAGTGTCCCGCAATCATTTCATATAGCAGACAGCCAAGTCCCCACCAATCAGGACTAAATGCATACCTTTCATTATTGATAATTTCTGGAGCTATATAACAAATATGGAAAATTTTAATTAAATTTTAGCTTTAACTATCCTTATGATTACAACATGATCTAAGAACCTTAAAAACATGGTAAGTTAAAAAAAAACACAAAGGGCCAAAGATCATATGATTATATTTATATGAAATGTACAGAATACACAAATCTAGAAAGACTGAACATTAGGTCACGGTTTAAAGTCCTGGAGTAGAAAGTGATGAATAGAGGGTAGTTGCTAACAGGTCATTAAAATCTGAACTGATTAAAGAATGTTCTGAAATTAGAGAAAGTAATGGCAATGATGGATGCACAATTCTGTAAATGGACTAATATTCACTGAGTTATATATTTCAAATAGTTTGATTCTTTGATGTGTAAAGGATAATTGAGGCTGCATCTATGTATCTACACTGGATAAACATGACTGATGCAGGGTGGGTAATTTGGTAAAAATGGTACTGGAAAGAAAGCTTGCCTCCTGGGGGTGCTCCCTCCACTCGAATGTTCCCATGGGTGCCTCAAGTGCAGTGTCATCTGTTCCCAAGTCAGAAGAAACCCCAGAAACCTGCAAGGGGAGGAATATCAGGCTCTGAGAGACCCACCATGTCCTTAGAAGCTACCAAGGGTAGGCTGGCATTGCCCAGTCATCTTTGGAATAATATGAACATGATTAGCTTCCCAGGGATCAGGTGGGTAGGATTTGTGTGACCACATACATGGGACGATGGCTGCATGAGAAGGCCTGTGGCCTTACCTGACTCTGCCCTCACACAACTACATAAACTCAGGAGTCTCTATGGGCGCCACTCCTCATTTATAAAAAGGCTGCAGACTAGAAAAGTCCTCAGTCTAGATCAGTGGTTCTCAATCTGTGGGTCACATCCCTTTGGAAGTTCATGGACCCTTTCAGAGGAGTTGCCTAAGTTCATCGGAAAACACAGATATTTACATTAAAATTCATAAGAGTAGCAAAATTACAGTTATAAAGTAGCGACAAAAATAATGTTATGGCCGGGGGTCACCACAACACGAGGAACTGTATTAAGGAACAGCATTAGGAAGGTTGAGAATAACTGCTCTAGATCTCCAAAACATGTAAAATAATAAATTAAATAAAAAAAAATGCTTTGACTCCAAAATTTAAGTTCAAGGACAAGTTACTGAGGAAAAGGATTTCTATTTTTGTTTCCACAGAAAATGAATTCTGGATTCCTTCCAGACTAATGTGGTTTGATCAAGCCAGACTGCTTGAAACAGAGTACCAGGTGATCCTACATTCAAAACAGCTGGACAAAGCAGCCTGACAGACTACAGCCAAGATTTCTGCATCTTCTTAGAATCCCCCATGACAGCGACCCTTACCAGCAGGAAGTAGTTTGGAAAGAATGACGCCCAAATTCCCAAATATTGTCTATAAATGTTTGTTTTCAGTTAAATGGACTTGGTTATATAAAATAAATAAATAAATAAAAGAAAATCAATAAATGCAATCTATTATATAAATCAACTGAAAGAAAAAAGCCATTCTTTCATGACAAAAGTCAGGGAGAGATTAATACAAGGGACATACCTAAACATAATAAAGGAAGCTTACAGCAAGCCTATAGTCAATAGCAACTTAAATGGAGAGAAACCTGAATCAATTTCACTAAAATCAGGAACAAGACAAGGTTGTCCACTCTCTCTATACTATTAAATATAATACCTGAAGTCTCAGCTACAGCAATAAGACAACAGAAGGATATTAAAGAGATACAAATTGGAAAGAAAGAAGTCAAGTATCTTTGATTGCAGGTGATAAGCTAGTATACATAAGTGACCCAAAAAATTCCACCAGGGAACTTCTATGGCTGATAAACACTTTCAGTCAAGTAGCTGGATATACTATTAACTCACAAAAATCAGTAGCCCTCCTATATACAAATGACAGACTGAGAAAGAAAGAATATCTTTCACAATAGCTTCTTGAGATAACACTAACTAAGCAAATGAAAGATTATACATATAAAACTTCAAGTCTTTGAAGAAAAGCTTTGAAAAAGACATGAGAAGATGGAAAGATCTCCCATTCTCATAGATCAGCAGGATTAATATAGTAAAAATGGACATCCTGTCAAAAGTAATCTACAGATTCAGCTCAATGCCCATCAAAATTCCAACACAATTCTTCACAGACCTTGAAAGCACAATTTTCAATTTCATATGGAAACACAAAAATCTGAACAATGAAAGAACTGCATGAGGTCTGACCATTCCTGATATTAAGCTATACTCATACTACAAGGCTATAGTAATAAAAAAAAATTCATGGTATTGGCACAAAAACGCTAATCAATGGAATTGATTGGAAGGCCCAGAAATATACCCAAACAAATATGGATACCTGATTTTTGATAAAGAAGCCAGAAATACACACTGGAAAAAAGGCAATATCTTCAACAAATGGTGGTAGTCAAACTGGATGGCTGAATGCAAATAGATCCACACCTAGCACCCTTCACAAAACTCAACTCCAAATGATCAAAGACCTCAACATAAAACAAGGTACACTGGGCCTGATAGAAGAGAGAGTGGGGAATAGCCTGGAACACATTAGCACAGTAGATGACTTTCTGAACACTGATAGTGCAGGCACTAAGATCAACAATTACTAAAGAGACACTGTAAAACTGAAAACTTCTCCACAGCAAAGGACACTAACAGCTGGACCAAGTGGCAGCCTACAGAATGGGAAAAGATTTTTAATAACTCTACATCTGACAGAATATAAATATCAAAAATATACATAGACCTCAAAAATATATATATATGTAAAAACCCAATTTTAAAATGGGTACAAATAAGAACAGAGAATTCCCAATAGAGAAAACTCAAATGGCTGAGAAATACTTGTAGAAATGCCTCAGGAGGCAGAGGCTAGTGGGTCTCTGAGTTCAAGGCCAGTCTAGTCTACAGAGTGAGTTCCAGGACAGCCAGGGTAACACAGAGAAACTGTATTTAGCATAATAAATAAATAAATAAATAAATAAATAAATAAATAAATAAGGGAGGGGGAGGATGTCTATTAGCTAAGCATTGTGGCACATCCCTTCAATCCCATGTATCACTATGTCTGCCCCTCAGAAAAAGTCTTGCTCTCTTAAAATTGAATTTATACGTAATCATTGTTTTCTGTCCTAAAGAATGTGAACTGTTGTGTTTGTATATAAAGTATCACAGTGATAATTAGCTTTATTACATGCTATTCAGGGGCTGGCAGGATGGCTCAATGGCTAAGAGTGCGCTGCGCACCCTAGCCCTGACTTACCTGAGTTGTGTGAAAGGAAAGCTGACTCACTTGAATTACCCTCTCACTTGTACACGTGCGCTCTTGCTCAATGGTAAATAAATGTAATTCTAATATTCTTTAAAAGTTCATGTGCTTCAATGTGGCATTATTTTCATGGCTTAATGAGGTTTATACTACTAAAGTAAATGAAAAGCTATGTTTCTCTCTAGGTTGTGGCGCACTGGGCCTTCTGTCAGGAAAGGATATGGTCCACCAGAGTCATCTTTCACTTACACATGTAGCCAACAGTACCAACTCTTCCTCGAACTGTCTCCCCTTCTGGGACTTCCAGAGCTAGACCAAGATCTGAAATTCGGATGTGTCCTGTGTGAGTTCAAACACAATGTACAGATCATGGGATGAAGTAATAGAATTTTAGTAACAATGGCAACTGGGAGGCAAAGTCCATCTACAATGCATTGATGAGAGCTGAGGCTACAGCTCAGTAGTACAACACTTGCCTAAAATATTCGAGGCTCTAGATTCCATCCCAGTGGTACAAAACACATACAACAAATATGTATAAAAAATAGCAGTCTCTAAAAGTTACACTTAAACTTTACATGTGTAGTGAAATTTCTTATAGCACACTAAGTTTCACTAACAGCAAGAAATTAGATTTATACTTGAAGAAACCCTTTAACAGTAGGTAACTACAAGATAAAAACAGAGATACCATATTATTTCCTTATAACTACTAGTGGAAATAATAAAATTAAGACCCTTTACTTAGAGACCTCAACTATGCAAATGTTTTATGTATAGGGGCATAAATGTTTGCTAAATTCCTATGAAAGTAACAAATTACAAAAAAAAAAAATGTCTTCAAAGGAAACCTGCCATTGTATTTAGACTCAACTTATTCACACGCTTAGTAAACTACTCCATGTCCTACAATATAACATGTCCTCTTCCCCTGCCTCTTTTACAGTAGCTTCAGTGACAACTTTAGATCACAGCGCAACACATACAGGCACAAATCACAAGCTTAAGAGTCAGATGCTGCAGACAACCTGGGAAAGTCATTTTTGCAGCACCTTTTTTCTTCAGGGAGTCAGTATGTAAGTTAGGTAACAAGCAGGAAGCAGTGGCAGAAGCAGACATAGAGCTGTGTACTGATCATGCCCCACATTTGCCTTCAGGACTCAGCCACATTGACCCTTTCTCTGCAGCAATCCTCTGGCTCTGGCTCATGCTCTATCCTTTCAGAATCATTAGACAGAAGCTCCTTCTCACTATTGCTAACCGAGTTAGTGTAAACACAGCCCGCATCCTAGTAATAGGGCTCATTCTCGGACATAGAGACACCAAGACTAGAAGCACCCATGATGCTGACAAGGAGCTGACTACAAGGACCAGTCCCCATCTACCACCACAGGGTCCCCATAACAACAGTTCACACCCTGTGACATATGATATATGACAAGGGGACAGCACGGAGACAGAGCTGAGGAATAAAGGAAAATAATTATGGGTCAATAGCAGAAAACAAACAAAATAAACAAACAGGAGGGCAAATACTCTGAGTTTATTTTCACCTACTTCAAAACATCCATCATTAACATCTGACATCTCAATTTTTACCTATGTACAGGTGATGGAAATGCATCTGTTTGGGCTTCTGTTTTTGTTTTGTTTTATTTTATTAAAGAACACATCCCAAGAGTTTCTTTTAGTTACTGTTTCCAGTCTGCACTAACCATATTAGCTTTCAAGTAGGTGTCTCTCTGACAGGTCTACACTTAAGCATAAAAGCCTCTTTTTACTTACCATGATCGTCCAGGAGGATATTCTCTGGCTTTAGGTCTCTACAAGGAAACAAACAAACAAAAAAAAAATTCTTATTCAGAAGTCAGTACTGTAGTTCCTGGGCACTGAGAAGAAACAGTCACAGATATTTTGATGGCTAAAAGCAGTAACTAGAAGGGTAGAAAGTAAAACCACCCTCTGTGAGCAATCTGAGCTATTGCAGGCTTCAGACATAACTACAAGTAGCTCAAGAATTCTACAAAATTTGCTAGGCATGGTAATGCATTCCTATAGAAACTGAAAAGAGTTCATCTCAGCAAGCATCATACATATGTTAAATATAAAATGAACTTCTTTGAATAGTCCTGACAAGTTAAAAACATTTTCGTGATTCTGTATGCAGGCTGGGGGTAAGGAAAGCAACTAGTCCTTAATGAACATCACTCATTCTGTCTCATGAAAAAAATTTCATGAAAAAATATTTTCAAAGACTTTGGATTTAATCGTGACTCCAAATTTGAGGATAGTCCATCTTCCCTAAGTACCTCTGTCAATGTGTGAACACATCACTGGAGCACAGGAAGAGGACAATCTGAAGCCAGCAGTGTGAGACAATGTCCTAGAAATAATGCCATAGCAGCAAGATGAGACAGAGGACCAACACAGGAAAATCCCAGAGATCCAAAGTGAGCCCCTGCCAGCAGCAGTGAGCTGGTCCCTGCCATATGCTCATGGTGAATGTCACTGCTGTCAGGGCAGAAGGGCCAGGATAGACAGCAGGTAAGAAAACCATGCAGCCTGGCAGGGGCTGTTTTTCCAGTGGGCACATATGCATTCATTCTTAGGTACAAGAATAGTGAGCATTTTTGGTTTTCCCTTCTATCCATCGGGTAATTAAAAAACAACTATTAAACATTACTAAACATCCAATGAAGAATCTAAGCAATAATGCTGAGATCCACAGCTAAGCACTGGGCCAAACTCTTGGGAGTCCAGTTGTAGAGAGGGAGGAGTGATAATATGAGCAAAGGGGTCAAGATCAGGTTGAGGAAATCCACAGAAATAGCTGAGCTAAGCAAGTGGGAACTCACTGACTCCAGACTGACAGCTGGGGAACCAACATAAGACAGAACTAGGCCCCCTGATTATGGGTGACATTTGGGGGACTTGAGCAGTTTATGGGGCCACTGGAAGTGGAACCACTAATTATTCCTAGTGCATGAACTGGCTTTTTGGAGCCCATTCCCTAAGGAGGGATACCTTGCTCAGCCTGGATACAGGAGAGAGGGTCTTGGTCCTGCCTCAAATGATGTGATAGACTTTGATGACTCCCCATGGGAGACCACACCTTCTCTGAGGGGTGGATAGAAGGTGGGGAGATAAGGAGGAGTAGAAGGACAGGAAGGAGAGGGAACTGGGATTGGTAGGTAAAATAAGACTGTTTAAAACAAAAGGTTGTAAGAGCTAGTTGGGGAAAATCCTAAGCTAAAAGCCTAGCTTTCATAATTAATAAGAAGTCTCCATGTCGTTATTTGCAGGCTGATGGTCCCGATGAGAAAGTACTACTACAAATCATCTCTCTATAATCTCTGCTTCAGTTCTGGCCCTTACTTCTGTCAGTTATGGACTGTGAGTTAGAAGTGTAAGCCAAATTCTTTCCTAAATACAGCACCAGTAGCACAGACTCTTAGAAAACTGAGAGGAAATGGACTATTTTCTGGATAGGTACCACATACCAAAATTAAATCAAGGCCAAATAACAATTTAAATAGACCTATAACCCGCCAAGGAAATAGAAGCACTCATCAAAAGTGTCCCAACCAAAAACAGGTTCAGGGCCAGACAGTTTCAGTGCAGAATTCTACCAGAAATTCAAAGAAGAGCTAATACCAATACTCCTCAAATTGTTCCACACAATAGGAACAGAAGGAACATTGCCAAACTCTTTTTATGAGGCTACAGTTACCTGAGACCCAAATTACACAAAGATACAACTAAAAAAGAAAATTACAGATCAATTTCCCTCATGAACACTGACACAAAAAAAAAAAAAAAAAAAAAAAAAAAAGCTCAGTAAAATACTGGCAAACCAGATGCAAAACATATCAAAAATAATCATCCACCATGATCAAGTAGGCTTTATCCCAGAGATGCAGGGATAGTTCAACATATGAAAATCTGTCAATGTAATTCACCATATAAATAAACTGAAGGAAAAATGACATGATCATCTCATTAGATGCTTAAAAAAAGTCTTAAAACAAAATCCAACACCCCTTCCTGATAAAGGTCTTGGATGGATCAGGGATACAAGGAATATACCTAAACATAATAAAGGCAATGAGAAACTCAAAGCAATTCCACTAAAATCAGAAACAAGACAAGGCTGTGCAATCTCTCCATATCTATTCAATAGGGTACTCAAAGTTCTAGCTAGAACAGTAAGACAACAAAGGGAGATGAAGCAGATATAAATTGGAAGGGAAGAAGTCAAACTTTCACTATCTGTAGATAATATAATAATATACATAAGTGAACCCCAAGATTCTACTAAGGAACTCCTACAGCTGATAAACACCTTCAGTAATGTGGCAGGATACAATATTAACTTAAAAAAAAATCAGTAGCTCTCATATAAATGGACTGAGAAAGAAATCAGAGAAACATCACCCTTTACAATAGCCACACATAACATAAAAATTCTTGGAATAATTCTAACCAAACAAGTGAAAGACCTGTATAACGAGAACTTTAAGTCTTTGAAGAAAGAAATTGAAGACGCTATCAGAAAATGGAAAGATCTTCCATGCTCTTGGATAGGTAGGATTAATATAGTAAAAATGACAATCTTGCCAAAAGCAACCTACAGATTTAATGCATTCCCCATCAAAATCTCAACACAATTCTTCAGAGACCTCAAAAAAAAAAAAAAATACTCAACTTCATATGGAAAAAAAAAAAACAAAACAAAACAAAAACCCAGGAACATCTGGAGGCATCACCATCTCTGACTTCAAGCTCTACTATAGCGCTACAGTAATAAAAAAAAAAAAAAAAAAAAAAACACAGCTTGATATTGGCATAAAAACAGACACATGGATCAATAGAATTGAACTGAAGACCCTGATACTAATCCACACATCTATGAACACCTAGTTTTTTGTTTTGGTTTGGTTTGGTTTTTTACAAAGAAGCCAAAATTGTACAGTGGAAAAAAGATCTTCATCAAATGGTGCTGGCAAAAACAGATGTCAACATGTAGGAAAATGCAAATAGATTCATGCACAAATCTGAAGTCCAAGAGGATCAAAGACCTCAACATAAATCCAGTTATACTGAACCTGATAGAAAAGAAAGTAGCCTTGAACACACTGGCACAAGAGACCACTTCCTAAATATAAAACCAGTTTTAAATGACCTTGATTAAGGAACTTGGATCTAGTAAACTTTAAAGCAAGTTGGTGTTAGTCAGACAGAGTCCATTTCCCAAAATAATGAGATGCTGCTGAAAGCACCCCAAAAATGGGTTTACTTCCTACTACAGGTTAAGTATCCCTTATTTGAAATATTTGAGACTAAAAGTGCTCTTGGATTTCAGACTTTTAAAATACTTTACATGCATAATGGAAATAGACTAAGATACAAGCATCAAAGTCTTTTTGATGTTTCTTATGCATATTATACACACAACCTGAAGGCAATTTACACACTATTCTTAGTGTGTATGCACTTGATTGTGGTACCACAGACTAAACCTCTTCTGACACATGGTTTAATAAAAATTGCTAGGTGGCAACCCTTAGAAACAGGACAAGAAGACATTAAACATAAACAAAACACCTTCTCCTTGAGGCATACCAGTATTTAAACAGAAGAGAGGGTCACTTTTAGACGCTCAAAGTTATTCATTCACAAAACGCTCAAAGCACCTATGAAGGTAAGCACTGTGGATATAGAGGGCGGGAGACACAGACCAGCTCCCACGGGATGCCCCAATCAAACCCTCTCTGTGGTGCTGCATGAAGGCCAAGTAACCACTAAATTAAGAAAATGAGTCTCCTTCAGACAACCCAGGAATTCACCTTGAGGCTGAAGGCAAACAGGTAGGTCTCAGCTGAAGTCCCTTGTAAACCTGATTTACTCCAGAGTAACCCAGAACCTAATGCCCTCTGGATTTGATCCCTAAATAAGTGTGACCTGACTCTACCTCTAAATAACAGCAAACAAGGCATGCTCAATTCAGATGTGGCACCTTGGTCTCTAAATAATCATGGTCAGGGTAATAACCTCCTCCTTGCTCAGTAACTGAAGGCAGGGCTGTATCCACTCCTCTGCAGTGCTAGTGTCTGGTCTGTGGGAAACAGCAGAGAAAAACTGAAGGTCAAGCACTGTAGCATGAACAAGGTCAGGATTCTTGAGAAGCTTACAGTCTGGTGTGACCAACTCTAGAAGAGAGTGACCCTCCATAGCACTACTGGGATACTGGAGGGACAGCACTCATGCTGCTAGGGACAAGATGTGGTGGTCTGATCAAAAGTGCCCCCCACAGACTCACATATTGAGTGAGTAAGTCACCAGGGCGTGGAGCTCTTTGACAGAAGGATTAGGAGGCATGGCCTTGTTGGAGGAAGTGCTTCATTCACTGGTCTCAAAATCCCATGCTAGGCATAGCCTCTCTCTGCCTCCAGGTCAGGATACAGCTCTCAGCTACTGTTCTAGCACCAGCCTACAGAGTGCCATGCTCCCCACTATGATGATAATGAACTAAACCTCTGAAGCTGTAAGCACACCTCCAATTAGGTGCTTTCTTTTATGAGTTGTTTTGTTCATTTTGTCCCTTCACAGCAACAGAACATTGCTGGAATAACTCAGGAAAGATAAGCAGAGGTCCTCCTATTGATGGGAAAAGGGGTTTCAGTGAAGATGGCATCCACAGAGGGGCACACTGCCAAGACTGGAGTTATAAAGACTTCTTAGATGTTCTGGGAACCACAAATACACTTGTACAACAAGGGCTGAGAATACTGATGGGGGTCATCAGGAAACAAGGCTGGAAAAGTTAGCAGGAAGCTAACTACTTCAGGGTCTCAACACCTGGTGAACAAGGACCCCAAACCAGAGGAAGAAGAAGAAGAAATAAGCTCAGAACTGTATTCAAACATGTCTTGTCAGGATCTTCTGGAAAACACTCTGGGACAACACAGGCAGTATGGACACCAGTTCAAATCTCTGTCTGTTGACTGACAGGAGAAAAAAATGAACTAAACTGCTCACCATCGAATTTAGAGACTGATGGAGATATTACAGGGCAAAGTGATGACCAACTGAGTGGAGAAGAAGAGAGCAGGAGATACATAGATCACTCTGGAATTTACATATTTTTAAAAAGACACAGGTTATGAATTCTCATTAGAATGCTGGTGAGGAGGCTCAGTGGTAAACACACTTGCTGCACGTGAGGACTTGAGTGTAAATACCCAGAACCCATGTAAAGCCACAGGATGTAGCATCTATAATCCCAGTGTTGCTATGGTGAGATGAGAAGCAGAGACAAGAGAATCCCCAGGAACTCACAGGCCAGCTATCACAGGAAGACCCTGTCTCAAACAAGCTGAGAGGTGAGAACTGACACACAAAGCTGTCATTGGCCCACTATGCATGTGCTTCTGCAAACATGCACAAAAAAAAAAAAAAAAAATTTAAAGGAAAGAAATTCTCATTAGTGATTGACTGGCAAGTAAATCTCTGGAAGAGAAACCAAAAGTCCACAGGGAGAGTGATCAATATGCGATTCAATGTATAACAATCCCAATATCTAATAGAAACCATTTTCAAAATTAAAATATACTGATTGAACTAAGATAATTCTAACTACAAAGCTTAATATGATTTTCTTACTGAATTCTAAGATAAAAAGAAAACTTTTTTTGTTTTTTGTTTTGTTTTGTTTTGAGACAGGGCTTTTCTGTGTAGACTTGACTGTCTTGGAACTTTGCTCTGTAGGCCAGGTTGGCCTTGAACTGACAGAGATCCACCTGTCTCTGCCTCCCAAGTGCTGGGATTAAAGGCATGCGCCACCACCACCTGGCAAGAAAACATTTTTAGTATACTTGGTTCTGTTGGGCTTTGGGTGGGGGGCTATTACGAATGTCTTTATCAGAGCTGTCAAATATCTCAGAATTCTGGAAACAGGCTTTCCCATGCTTACATGCTTACATCTGATCAGCTTAAGGGAAAAGGTTCTGCTTCAAAAGGACAATTTCTTAGAAGAGTAAAGATAAACTAAGAAGGAAACCAAGGTACACTTCTGACTGACTGTGTCCTACAGTTTAAGGAACAAGCCACACCCCTCCAAATGCCACCCAAGGCCGCCCGGTTGTCCCTTTTGTCATCCCATGACAGCATGAGCCAGAGGACGCTCCCAATGGAAGTCAGGGCTTAGGTGAACAGGCTTCAATACTCACAGGCTCTGTCAGGTCGCACCATTCTTACCTGTATACAATTCTTTCCTTCTGTAAATCTTCCAAGCCACAACATAGCTCTGCAGCATAGAACACAGCTCTCGGCTCCTCAAAGCCAGGGTTGCCCAGGTTGTAAATGTGGTACTTCAAATCCCCTCCATTCATAATGGTTAGCACCAAACACAAGGCATCCTTGGTTTCATAAGTGTAGGCTAAATTAACCTAAAGAAAAGAGCATCGTAAAAAAGACACACACACACACACACACACACACAAATCTGCTTGTTCACTCTTGATTTACTCTATTTGCTAACAACAATCTGTTAGGTTTATAATTAGAACACCAAAACACTATGTGTTTCAGAGAAGTATATACCACACATCATGTCTCTGGACTTTTACTGAGCAAAGGGCTCAGTGCAGCTCTGCATGGAAATTGAGTAGTGGATACTGATTTCTCCACACTGTGGTCTGACTGTGTGACACTAGGAACTTCTGGAGCACCTGCCTTCAGCAGTTCTGGCAAGATCTTGCTGCTCCACATTCCTCCAACATTTAGTGATGTTGATCTTTTTGGTTTGAGCCAGAATGGTCAGGGTATAATGGCTTCTGACTGTGTCATTTTGTTGTTGTTTCGTGATGCTTAACTATATTCTAAATCCTTAGTTTTGGAAGACTGGTTTCACTAAGTAGCCTAGGTTGGTTCCTAACTTACTATATAAGCTGAGTCTAGTCTTGAATTTTAATTCTGATTTTAATTTGCAATGAATACTCCTCATAGGTTTTCATAAATTTATTAGTCAGTTGGAGCCTTTTTTGTGAAATGCCTTTATGCTTTTCACTTTCTTTTGCTTTTTTGAAGAAACGAGGTTTGCCCAGGTTGGCCCTGAGGTCCTGGGATCAATGGTCCTCCTGCTTCGGGTTCCTGATTAGTTGGGATTACAGATGCACTTGGTCAAAAATAGCATTACTTCTCCTCTTCCTCCTCTTCCTATTAGTTGAACCTAGTGCTTTTTATCTGTCAGGCAAGAGCTACAGTTCCAGACCCTGGTAAGTTTTTCCTCACCTTTCTATTGTCTTGAATGACACTTCAAACACAAATGTACACATGCACACAGGAACTCTCCTTGCTGGGATTTGGGTTGTGATTATACTTAATTTATTTAATCTCTAGAACAACTGAGGAGAGCCAGTATCTTCACAACACTGAATCACCCAGTCTGAGAACATGTTCTTTTCTGTTTTAAGGCATTCCTTAATTTCTTAAAATAGCATTTTACAGTTCTAAGTGTAGAAGTGTTGCATATTTTTGTATTTAGGACTTTTTCCTACACTGTGATGGCTCTTGGTGCTATTACAAATGTTACTAATGCTGGGCAGTGGTGGCACATGACTTTAATCCCAGCACTTGTGAGCAGAGACAGGCATAGCCACAAATACCTGTGATCCCAGTCCTAGGGTGGAGGGCAGAAAGGATTGATAAGGCTTACTGGCCTGCTAGCATAGCTGGAAAAAAACAAACAATAAACAAATCAGAGACTCTGTCTCAAGAAAATAAGTTGAAGGGTAATGCAACATCCTCCTCTGGCCTCTAAGAATGTAAATAGGAGTGGTGGTGTACATCTTTAATCCTAGCACTCCAGAAGTAGAGGTAGTTGGGTCTCTGTGAGTTGGAGGCCAGCCTGGTCTACAGAGTGAGTTCCAGGACAGGTTCCAAAGCTACACAGAGAAACTCTCAAAACAAATAAATAAAAACAAAACAAAAAGATGTACATAGGTGTGTATTTGATATATACTCATATGTACAGATAGAAATACAGGAATACAGACACATGCACACCTAACTGCTTGTAGTCACGTCGTTAAATCCTGGGTTGATTAACTAGAAAGTCTAAGAATGTCTACACATAACAGTTATGTTATTCAAAAATACAATTTTTTTACTCCTTTGTTTCTTTCTCTAGCTCTAATTCTAATCCTAATTTAACCCTAACTCCTTTCTTTTATTTTGTTGCACTGGTTAGAATTTCCAATAATGTTAAGTAGAGATAGTGAGAGTGTTCTAGACATGGTGGGGGGCATTCCAATAGCACCACACGATAGATGATGCGGGCTAGAAAGTAAAGCTAGTTTGCTGAGAGCTCTTGACATTTTGGTTGGAGGCTTAGCCTTTAATGGCAGAGCCATGTTTACAGCCTTGCTTAGCTCTCCTAATCATAAATGGGACCTGGATTTTAAAAAAAAGCTTTCTCAGCAACTATTAAAATGACTATATGGTTTCCCCCTTTATTCTAGTAATGTGATAAATTATAATAATTGTTTCTCATTTCTGGAATAAATCTAACTTGGTCAACATTTTTTATTAATCCCTAGTACAGTAAAGGTACTGTACTGCAGGTAGAGGGGAGAGGGTTGAGAGTAAGGAGGGCGGGAAGAAATATCCACAGCATCACTGCCGTCCACTTTCATCACCAGCTGGAATATGTCAGACAAGAGTTAAGCAAGAGTATTTCTCATCCGTGCTTCAAGAAACAAAGACCCTTACTCTCTCCCCTCCTGTCAATGAATATCCATCTCACATACACTTGATGCATATTAAATAATACTGAGAACCATTTATCATGCCGGCCTTGATCCAGGTACCAGGAACTAGAGGTGAACAAAATCACAAAGGTTCTGCTTTTCTATACTACAAACATCAGACAGAGAAGCACAGAGTGACTCATGCAGAAACAGAAACCAGTGCTATTCAAGGATGAACAGAGGGGGTAGCCATATTCCAGACAGAGGGTGTACCCAGCTCCCAGGCCTGATGGGACATCTTGATTAGCTGGGTTTTAGGTAAAGGCTGAGGGAGCCTGGTGCCTCAGTGCCTAAGAGGCTAGAGCAGAGTTCAATTTCACTCTCAGTGTGAAAACGACCACAAGACAGTTAATGTAGGAAAGTGTAGACCAACTTAACTCCTCCACAGATTATCACTTCGGGGGGAACAGATGCAAGGGCCAAGTGCAGACAGCGGTGGGAACTCAGGAGAGGGTGCTGCGGAATAGATGAGGTGGCAGTGGGAAGGACCACAACTCAAGAGTGGGGTAGAACCTGCCAATGATTCATTATACACAGGAAGGAGCCAGAATCACAGATCAAATGAAGTACGTCTAGGTTCTTTCCAAGAAGCTAAAAATACAAAACAAAATTATGTTGTGTCATAAGCCATAACTATTTATATCCCTCTCATAAAGCTAAATTTGAGAATTCTATGCTTCGAGATAGTACAACATGTTTAAATAGCTCAGATGAGTATATTTTATTGAAGACTAACACTTTACTCCATGAGAAATTGTCATAGTAAACACAAAGCTCATGCTACTAAATACAGATGCTGGCCATGAAGAGGTGATGGCTTGGAACATCTGTCTCTACAAAGCAGATAACCTTGATACCAAGAAGTAAATGACTTCAAGGAAATAAAATTTGACACTAAGAATAATCTTATAACCATTATTTATCTTGTCTTTTTGTGGGAGGTAGGTTTCGAGGCAGAGTTTCTCTGTGTAACAGCCTTAGCTGTCCTGGAACTGGCTCTGTAGACCAGGCTGGCCTTGAACTCACAGAAATTGCCTGCCTCTGCCTCCTGAGTGTTGGGATTAAATGTGTGCCCCACCACAGCCCAACTCATTTTCTGTCTTAACCATTCTTTATACTTCAAAAGATGCTCCAAGGAATATCTCAGTAGGAGTAGGGAAACCACACTATACAACACATAGCCTACAACCTGAGATCACTACTCTGTTCCGCACCACTCCACCTTCAGGTCTTATCTGCAATGGTGAGGGTGAAATTTGAAAGATCCTACAATTGGAGTATGGTAATTGAAGTTCCAGTGGTAATCACTTCAGGTGCAGAAAATAAAAATAAAAATAAAAGAAGAAAGAAAATCCAAGGATGGAAAAGAGACTGAGATCAGAGAGGAGAGGGAGCTTACTTTAGAAGGACTAGAAAAAGAACCTTCAAGTACCTCAAAGTCACCATGCTGACAGGCCAGAGCTGATCAACAGGAGGCAACTAACGCATGAGCTTGGCTACTACAAGGGGGAAGAAAGCAGTCATCACGAATATAACAGGGGTGAAGAAGACTTGACAGCATGGGAAGGTGGACAGCATAAAACCGGTAACAAGTCACAAATCAACAGCAGGATCAGCACTGCCCTGTGCTTACCAAGCTAGAATAAGAGGCACATCATTATAAAATGAAATTATTTCCAATAGAGACAGCAAAACTCCACAAAACTCAGTGAAGAAATACAGCACCTGAGTCCATGACTTGAATGAGAGTTTACAGCAGGACTGATGACCAAAATGCTATTAAGTCAAACAATGTACAAGGGAAGGTTGTGATGGTTAAGGTTTGTCACCTTGATAGGTTTTAGAATCACCTAGGAACAAACCTCTGTGTCTGGGAGTGTGCTTCCAGAAAGGTTTACCTGAGGGAAGCCCTACCGTGAACATTGGAGGTACCATCCAAGGGGCTGGGGTCCCATCCCGAATAAAGGGAGAAAACAAGCTGACACCAGCATTCATATCTCTGTTGGCTGATACAGATACAATGTGACCAGCACCCTCTGGATACCATGCCTTGTCTGACATGATAGATAGACTGTATCCCTTTCTCAAACAGTGCGCCAAAATAAACCCTTTAGACACAAAAACTGTTTTGTTGTTTTTTGTTGTTTTTGTTTTTCAAGACAGGGCTTCTCTGTGTAGCCCTGGCTGTCGGTAACCCACTCTGTAGACCAACCAGGGGTCCTTGAACTCACAGAGATCCACCTGTCTCTGCCTCCCAAACGCTGGAATCAATGCATGCACCATCATCACCACCTGGCCCCAGACAAGCAATTTATCACAGCAACAAGAAAAGTAACTGATACCATGACAAAAATAAGATACTTACTACAAATCTACTGTGCAATTTTTCTAAGATTCTTTTTTCATTCAGAGCCATCCCTTCACTTTTCCTCCTCTTTATTCTCTTTTTTTCTAGTTTTTTGCAGGCGTACATTTTTCCTGTAGCTCGTACTTGGCAGGCACAAACCTGGTTGGGGTGGGGTGGGGTAGGGAGGAGGAGAAAGGTTTATGTATATACATTTGTATGTATGTATGCACATGTATATGTGTGTGTGTGTGTGTGTGTGCGCGCGTGTATGAAGTGAACTCTTTTCTCTATGATAATCTTCGCCGGTAAAGGCTGGACACAGCATGTGATAAGCCAGCGCCATTGGGTAATAAGTGGAAGTTTTCAGCTGAATCTCCCTCTGACTCCCAGTTTCTTGTCAATAGTAGCTGCTGGGAGTGAAGTAAATGAAACAGTGTGCTTTATCAAGATGCAAATGGAACTGGGTTTTGGATGTGACTATGCTGAGTCTATTTAAATATGTCCTGATATGTCTTTAGATACTTATGAAAGCAAAACGTTTAGAATATAAAATATGAATAATCCTGTTTTTTTTTTTTTTTTTTAAACTAAGAAGTTCAATGCTAGGCACAATGGCTCCATAGCCTCAGGAAGCTAAAGCAGGACAATCACTCTCCTGCCAAAGATGAAGTCGAGATGGTGACCCAAGATCACACAACTAGAAATGGCAAGCGGGTCTTGGCCTTGGGTTTGCACAGTTGTGAATGAAGTACATGCCCTTCTCACCACACTGTGCTACTTTTGGAACCAGTCAGGAACCCGGATGCTTTCCACTGGACAAACTGCTTACATTAAACATCAAGCATGAAAAAATAGCTCTGTCAGAATAGAAAATGGAAGGTAGGGTCACAAAGATAAGAAGTGTTTGTTGTTGTTATTGTTTTAAAGCCTAAAGCAGAAGTATCTTTTGCTAAAAGGTCTACCTTCATTTCAAGTTGCCTGAAACTATTCTCAAAATGCACAATAAGGAGCTAACTGTGTTGGCAAAGTTGATACATTTCTGAGCTCATGTGTGTGGATGACTGGTACCTTTCTAACAAAAGTACTACCATAACTGGCACAGGTTACTCACCTCTCCAAATCCGCCTTTTCCTAGAACTCTATAATGTCTGAACGTGTTCTTTGTTACTGGCCGCCTAAACAATTACAAAAAAAAAAAAAAAAAAAAAAAAAAATCAGATCTGACATTGCACTGTTACTTTAAAATAGAAAAGCCTACCTAGAGCAGGTGTTAGTCTTATCTCTTGATCCATGTTGCCTGAAACGGTGCCCCAGACAGAGGTGTCTATAATCAGGATTCACAGCTCTCAACAATTTACTCACAGAAACAAGCACACTTAAATTGTATTAAAGTCAATGACACAAAATATAGAAAATCTCAATTATCCTCTCTAATTTAAGATGAGTATGCAAGCAGCCCATTCTAGAAAATATGTATGTTTACAGATCACACATCAATCTTTGGCATACTTTACAACTTGTCAAAAGGCTGCTGAGGAAAACTACATAAATATAGCACACTTTCCTTTAAGTAAAGTACCTCAAATATAAGCTTTATGCCACCACACCCAGCATGCATGCATATATATTTGGTATTCTTCATACCCTTGGTATTATATATATATGCGCATATATATATATATATGCACATGCATGCTGTGTGTGGTGTCACATACCTTTAATCCCAGTACTCAGGAGGCCGAGGTAAGCAGATTTCTGTTTAAGGCCAGCCTGGTCAACACAGCAAGTTCCAAGGCAGCCAGACAACATAATGAAACTTGATCTCAAAGGGATGGGGTGCATATCAACTATTAGTTTTAGAAACAGTTGTTTTAAAAATAATAATCACAATAGTACTATTAGCAGCTGATACTTTTGTGGCATTTCTTTTGTTCACCAAACACTGAGCTATGCATCTCCCAGCAAGAGTGAAGCAGCTTGGGGTATTGTAGTGGTTCGAATTAAATGGCCCCAACAGGTGTAGCATGAATAATAAAAGACCCAGAGACTGATACTGGGGTTCAAGCTTCAAGATGAATATTAGAAAAGCAAAGTAGCCAGACACTAGCTTCTCACCTCTACCTCAGGATGAAAGGGCTGTCCTCTCCTCAACAGGACTGGAGAATAAATCTCTCCATCAAACCTCGGACTACAATGCTGTCTCCACCAAACCTCAGACTGCAGTGCAGACTGCTATGATCTCCTCAAAGTGGCTGAAGACTAATAATTCTCTGAACGTGGCTGGAAACCAAAATGCCCCAGACTGAATATCTGCGCCTATCTTATATACTTCAAATGCTGGAATTAAAAGCACATGTTCCCAAGTGCTAAGATCACATTTGTGTGAGCTGTTTTCCCTTTTAGACTGGATCAGTTTCGTGTAGCGCAGTGTGGCCTTGAACTAACAGAGACCCATCTGCTTGTGTCTTGAGTCCTAGGATTAAAGGTGTGTGCCACCACTGCCTGGCTCTATGGCTAGCTGGTATGGCTGCTGGGATTAAAGGTGTGTATTACCATTGCCTGGCTCTATAGCTTAGGGTTAGCTTGGCTTTCTGTGCTCTCAGGCAAGCTTTAATAAATCATAAATAATACAGCACCACACACAGGTTCATAGGGAGTGATACTATTAGGAGATATGGCCTTGTTGGAATAGGTGTAGCCTTGTGGAGAAAGTGTGTTACTTGGAGTAGGCCCACTGTCGTTCTCTCTACCTGCTGCCTGATGATCCATCCAGATATAACAAACACTCTCAGCTACCTCTCCAGCACCATATCTGCCTGCATGCTGCCATGCTTCCCATCATGACAAAAATGGACAAAACCTCTGAACTGTAAGCCAGCCCCAATTAAATGTTTTCCTTTATAAGGGCTGACATGGTCTTGGCGTCCACAGCAATAGAAACCCTAAGACAGGGATGTGAGTATCTCTGTATAGAAAAGGGATCTATAGTTCATAGTGGTTAAGTTACTTGCCGAATGCTTCACAGCTAGCAAGAATCGGATCAGAGGCTTAGACTGCAAAGTTTCAACTGCATTGCATTACTATAAAGCCAAAATATGTTTTATTTTCTAAATGTGCCATGAGAGTTAACTACTATTTTAAAAAAGAGAAAAGGATCCACTGAATCAGAAGAAATTATATAATATTCCACTTGCTAAAGTTTTCCATATAAAATAGTACATACAACCTAAGATTCCCAGAAGCATTGTAACAGGTAGAAAACCGAACTAATAGCAAATAGTACGTATTGTGAAAAGTTAACTTTTATTTAGCATTAAATTAAAACCTACCTTTCTAGCCATTTCCATTGTAAAAATCGACCGAAGTATGTACTGTCTTGGTATTCTTCAAATGGTTTTCCACTCAAATACGTATAGACAATTCTAGAAAAAAAATTAAGGCAATTATATACATTTATCATGTAAGATTTAATATCTGTGTCATAGTTAAGAAGCATTCATTGAGAAAGGTGCTTTAATACACAATCCAGTATAAAGAATTTACCATTATAGAAGCCCATAGATACTGGTATCAGTGAACATAAAATATTTAAAAGAAATGGAATCCCTTTACTCTCTGAAAGTCGGAAGTTCTTTTTTATGTCGTGGACAAGATAAATAACAATTCAAGAAAGAGAGTGTATCAGTGATTGGCTAGAAAATGGTACAGTAATCAAGCACTGGGTAGCCATTAGGACCGAAGTTTGGATCCCCAGAAACCACGTTAAAATCCAGGGTTGGTTAGGTATTCTGAAATTCCCAGTACTTGGAAGGTAGACAGACAAGGGGATCAGGAATTCATAGATATCTTTGACTACATAATGAGATCAAGGTTAGCCTAGGATACCTGAGAACCTCTCTTAAAAGCTAGATTTTACAGCCTCAATGCTTAGGAGTATGTGTAGGGGAATAAAGACCAAAAGATCCTGAGGGGTTTGCTGGACAGTCAATCTAGCCAAAACAGCCATATCCATATTCAGGGAGAGATCCTGTTTCAAATAATAAGATGGACACTACTGAAGACAACACTCAGTATTGACCTCCAGTACTCACATGCACACACACACAAACACCTACATCTAACACACAAAAACACACACAAACACATACACACAAGACTATTGGAATAGGAAGATAATTTAAAAGGCATTCAAGATGTGTGCATGAGTGTGTATTTCAAGAGAAAGTCAACCTTTTCCCAATAAAACAAGTGTGTGTACATGTACAGCAATTTTCCTATGGTGGCAAATAATATATGTTACACCATCGTTTTTGAAATGTAAGTCACCTAATAAATTATTTTATGCTACACATTTGTGTGCATAATGTATGTATTGTGTATGCATGTGCATGTGGTACACTGACTGGCCACCAAACTCTTGGTTTCCACATCCTGAAGCTATATAGGCAAGAAGTCATATTGGGCTTTTATATGAGTATAAATTTATATGAGTATAAAAGTCCTCTTTCTTGAACAGCAAATGTTCTTCTTACCCACTGAACCATCTCCCTACACTACATTTTCTTTGAGAAATTGTATGAAATTAGCCCTGTCTCTTGGATTTATTTATAATTCTAGGAGTGATACAATTCTAACTTGGGGAACTTGGGATATGGTTCAGTGGTAGGGGGCTTACATCGCGTGTGTGCCATTCTGGGTTCAATCCCTAATACGACAAAAACAAGGGCAGGCACACTACTTTTAAGAGAACAAGGCAGTCAGAGGCATTGGGACAAAGCACAATCTACACAGATCACTTCTTTTTGGGGCTAGGAAATGATCTGGAGCCTTCTGAAGAAGGTGAGGTATGGATTGAAGCACTACAGAAGTTACCCAGATATTACAAAAAGGAAAGTATTAAAACACAGGCAAAGTCCAAATGGGAAAACGCTGTGGCTTGTTTGTGGAATTGGGGAAGAAGCTTTGTAAATTCTGCCTTGATTTCTTCTGAGCCAGTCACATGATTTCTGTTTTACTTTATTTTATTTTTAAAGAGGTAATTCATGTTTTTAATAATGAGGATCTCTCTGGGTACTGTGGCCTTCACAGGGGTGTGCACTGGCAAATCTGTATCTAGCACTGAGACATACTGTGCTTCTCTGAAACTTTCTTCATGAGAAGTTAGGAGGGTTCCCAGCCACAGGAGATATAATATTATTTTTCTCAAATGTGGTGGAATGTCTGTGTCTTATTTACTAAAAAAAAAAAATATATATATATAACCCACAAAACAAAACCTTTTCAGCCCCAGGCATTTTCAGAATGAGGAAGGGACACAGTGTCCTCATAGCTTCAGTCTGAATATTCCTCAGGAAGCTCTTTAGATCAGCCCTTGTTTTCCAGTGAGTTGGGGAGGCCTGCTCCCAACTCTAGGAAACACCCCTTAGATGTTACCTTCTCTCATGATTGAAATCTTTGCAAAAACTTTACAAACCAATATCCTTGAGGAATGTGTCCATCTGAGGGTGTCGGCTGATCTGTCCTCAAGAAACTCTTACGTTGAATAAATAAATGAAATTAACTCCCTTTAAAGTTCTGGTATCCCACTTACAATATTAAGACATACCAAATAAGATAAAGAGATTTGAATATATATTAAAGATCTTTAAAGGGCTCTGTGGGTGAAGGTGCCTGTTACCAAACCTGCTGACCTGAGTTTGATTCCTGGGCCCTACAGTATAAGGACAGAGATGACTCCTGTAACTTCTCATCTCTACATGTGTGTCATGATATGCACTTACTACACAAACACACACACACATAACAATAATTAATTTTATTTAATTTTTAAGTAATTACCAATAAATGAATTAGGAGCCAGGTGGTGGTAGCACCCACCTTTGATCCAAGCACTGAGGAGGCAGAGGCAAGGCAGTCAGATTTCTGTGAGTTCCAGGACAGCCTGAACTACAGAATGAGTTCCAGGACAGCCAGGGCTACTCAGAGAAACCCTGTCTTGAAAAAAACAAAAACAAAACAAAACAAAACAAACAAACAAAAAAAAAAAAAACCAGTAATAATGTAAATAGATTAGGGCTACATGCTGATAGATAGAAGAAGTTTTTCTGTCTGAACATCACATAGTGCTTGCATAAACAGATGCATACCACATCACTAGGTAAAACAATCACCATCATATGTGTGTACTCTGACAGTAACTGAAAGCCCTTACATGACACATGACTGTATACCAGCATGAGTCAAAATTGAAGTTATCACTCCTGTTTGCACAGTTACTGAAAATAGTCCCTCCTTCGGAGATGACCACCCTTTTCTCATTTCCACCCCTAACTTATGGCCTATCTCTAGAACTGGGGTGTAGTAGCATCTTGTTTCCTCAGTAGACTTGCAGTGGTGGCTGCATCCTAAGGGCATGGCTTCAGGTGTGCAGACATGACCTCTTACAAGGAAGAGGAAGGGTTGGCTCATTCTCACAGGAAGTAGTTGGAACTCTGGAAGAGTAGAGAATGCTTCTTCAGGAGCAGGAAGACTGCAGTGAATATCTACTATTAACTGTGTAAGTGCTTCCCTAATAAATACCTGTTTATCATTTATCTTGGGTCTTGTGGATTCATTTAAGCCCCACCTTCACTAGGGTATGGCTTCTTTATCATACAGCACTCTTTAACGAATGTAGTTTGGTGTCTGTATCTTCCCATCTACCAACACAGTTCAAATCAAGGTCCTCCAATGGCAGAGGGAGAGGAGAACTACCATACTGAGTTGAAGATTGTCAGGGATGGAGACCTAAGAGATGTCCACAATCTCTTCATTTAATATATTCTTCTCTGCCAAAGCACCTACAACATCAGTCACTCCTAAGCCTCAAACTCAGTCTCTCTACCTTTCAGGTGACACTGGTGATTTATTCCTCAACTTTGAGGTACGATTATTCAAACACACTTCAAAACCCCCAAAATCTGTGGATTCTACCATTGCACCCAGCCTCCTAAGCATCTCTCAATCTTACTCGTTTGTCTTCATTATTGTCCTCCTATATAGTCAAGGTTCTCTAGAGGAACAGAATCGATAGAATGAATATATGGGATGTATTAAGGTGGCAAATAGGTTTGTGGTCTGGCTTATTCATCAATAGCTGCCTATCAATGGAAAATCAAGACAACAGTAGTTGTTCAGTCTACAAGGCTGGATGTCTCATGTGGTCTTCAGCATACACTGGAATTCCAAAGAAATAGGCTCTAATGTGAAGAAATAAATTTGCCAGGGAGTGAAGGCAAGCAGGCAAAGAGCAAGAGCTTCCTTCTTCCATGTCCTTAATACAGGTTATCACCAGCATGGTGGTCCAGATTTAAGGTGAATCTTGCCACCTCAAAAAATCTGGATTTAGTGTGGATCATCCCATTTCAAATTATTTAAGTAAGAAAAATCCCTTACATATATACCCAACCACTTGGATTTTAGTTAATTACAGATGTAGACAAGTTGACAACCAAGAACAGCCATCACAAGTCCACCCATACCAACTTGACACACAATCATATCTCTTTATAACATAATTTCCAAAGGATACAATAACTAAGTCATGATTATGCCTAACATGTTACAACTATACCATGTATAATTGTGAACACATTATACATTTTAGTATATGTGGCAAAGTCACTTTGAGGGATAGTCTTTTAGTACTCAAAACTTAAATATGATTAACTGTTGGAACACAGTCTAAGAATGGAGTAATGCAAAGGAAATTCTGAGTGCTTATGAGAAAACTCCAAGAAAACAAGCCTTATGACCTGTTTCTTTAAAAATACACATATGTTCTTAGAATGTGCTTGCATGACCCTCCCAGGTGGAGCAGATAGGAGTTAGTTTACTTTAGATTATTCATTACAAATGACAATTTGTTATTTGTTTATATGTCTCTATGGGAAAGTATGCTGTCCCTTGTGATTAAATACCTTACTAATGTGATTCTTCTTTACCCCCAGAGTATAAATTGCCTGATATTCCGAATAAAATTGGCTATTGCATGAGACATTAGTCCACCTCATTTTTAGGCTCCATTTTCACATAAATAGCTACACAAACACATTCTTAACAAAACTTAAGAGAAACACTCATGTCCATTATAATCTTTGTTTTGAAACTGATTCTGTATTTCCTTCACCCTCAGCAAACACCCCAGCTGGTTTTGGATCTTTTCCTGGAGTGATTCATACCTCCATTACTAATGGGTTTGTGCCCTTTGTCATCCTGCCCGGATTGAGTTGTTGTGGTTCCCCATTGAGTTTAGTCACCGGACACGGTAGCACCAAGAGATTCCCTAAAGGATCTCCTGCATTCCAGACATAACCTTTCTTACCTCCATTATGTAACAAGGACCTCCGAGTTCCAGCCTCGGTGTCCTCTCAGGATCCAGGTC